CCATCTTTTTTTGATGAAAAAGTGCTTCCGGTGAGGTCACCGGAAGCACTTTTTCATCAAAAAAAGATGGCGGCGCCCAGCTGATGCCGGTACCGGGCCGCGGCACCCAGCTGATGCCGGTACCGGGCCGCGGCGTAAAAAAGGTTGGGGATCACTGGCGTACACCATAGATCCAAACTTGTAAACACTGCCACCTACTGGCAGAATACAACTGTGGGTGTTGCACATAAAATACATTCCAACCAAATGTATTCCGATAGGAACACAATGTCTAAACACTTTGCTATTGTCTTTTTCTTCCAAATAAGAACTTGGTATTTCTTGATATCCTTCCATCCAAATCTAACCTACTTCAACCCTTTTCACATTAGTTCAGGTCCACCCAGAGGGAACATGTGCAGATAGTCCTTGACTTACAACAGTTCATTTCATGACCCCTCAGAGTTACAACAGCACTTAAAATCAGTGACTGATGACCATTTTTCACATGACCGTTGTACTATCTTTATGGTCACGGGTTCAAATTCGGACACGCGACGACTGGCTCGTATTCATGAAGTGTCCCACGGTTGCACTGTCCCAGGGTCATGTGATCAAAATTCGGGTCCTTGCCAATTGGCTCGTATTTGTGACCCTCGTAGTGTCCCCGGAGTCATGTCATCCCCTTTTGCGACCTTCTGAGAAGCAGTCAACGGGGAAGTCAGATTCCCTTACAAGCCGTGTGACTAACTTAACTACTGCAAGATGTCAGGGCTCCGGTAGTTACCCCCATTTAAATCATGCGTCTCTAGATGGATTTTCAAAGCTTAAAGAAGATTTATTAGGAGTAGACATGCCAGTGCTGCCTGGGTGTAGCCGACTCTGAGACACATCATTCATTGTCACCCTTGACCCTGGTTTCCCCTTCTCCCTACACCCCCGGGTGTATCATAATTCATATTCTCCAATGGGACCCATCCATAGCCCAGAGTCATCAGTCATGCTCTCCAGTTAGATCTCTGCTTGGCAGAACCTTCAGTCACCTAGTTACCATCTTTGAAAACATTTGTGGAATGCAGTTTCGGTTTTGCAAGCTGCTGCACTGCTGCTCCCCCTCCCTTTCTGTTGGCGACTCTAGAAAGACCAGAGAAATATTTTATGAGTTGACGCAAGGATTCGTTTAACAACTGCAGCAAGAGAGGTCGTAAAACAGCGCAAAGCTCTCTTGAACAACTGTTTTATTGAGCAATGGAAATTTGGGGCTCCGTTGGGATCGTAAGTGGAGGATTACCTGCAGCAAATGAACTTCTCACTCCAGCTGAGTTCGAATCCTGATGACTTTCGGGCCTCTGTGCCTTACAGAATGTGGCCTTTTTGGAGTTCTAAGTCCTTTCTGGGGAACTTCATGATCCATGGATTAACCAGGTTCAAACCTTCCTAGCTTCTAAACCAGGCTTCAAAAAATTTTAGCAACCGGTTCTCCGCCCGGTGGCTGGGTAGGCATGGGGCTACAATGGGCATGGCCTAGTCAGCCTCCTGCACCAGGGCGGGGGTTGTTTTTGGCCTCCCCGGCGAAAACGGCCTCCCCGGGCTCCCGAGGCCCTCTGCAGGGCGGAAACAGGGCCTGTTTCCAGCTTTCCACAGCCTCTGGGAGGCCCGTTTTTCGCCCTCCCTGAGCCTCCATGCGGGCCCTGTACTTACCTGGGATCCAAAATGGGCCGTGTGGAGACTCCTGGGAGGGGGAGGGCCAGCCAGGGGTGAGATTTGCCAGTTTGCCAAACCAGCCGTGAAAAATGATAAACATTAGCAACCGGTTCGGGAAAACCGGTGCGAACTGGTAGCATCCCATCCACCACCCCCTGTTCTAAACCCAGTCAGGGCTGGCTTAGCCTTGGAGGGAAGGGCCAGAAAGAGAATAATGAAGCAGTCAACAAAATCCGAAATCTGAACAGGGGTTGAGAGAAAGGCAGGGGACTCTTCTTGGCTGATGAAGACCAATTTTGGTCTTCAGCTACCCAACCTCCATTCAGAGGGTCTGCAGGCATGCAAGCCCCTGCATTGCACATGCACATGACTCCCAGTTGATTTTCAGCCTGTTTGAGGCATTTTTCGCCCTCTCGGAGGCTCGAAGGAAGCCTCTGCAACCTCGGAAGGCCGAAAAACAGGCCTTCTGGAAATACCGGAAGTGCTGAAACGGGCCCATTTTTCGGCTTCCCGAGCCTGCAGAGAAAATGAGCTGGGAGGCACATGCATGCGCAGTGCAGGTAAGGGGGTGGGGCGGGGTTGTTGCACGCACATGTGCGGGGGGGTGGGGCGCATTGCATTGTGGGTGCAGGCACACGTGTGTGCCCATGCTATCACGCACGTGCTTTCGGCACACCACAACAAAAAGGTTTGCCATCACTGATCTACTAATTCTTTCTTCACTCATTGGGATCGGCTCGACTCTCTCGCCCTTTGACGGGCGATTCTGGGAATTGAAGCCCAACGTGTCCGAGTTGGTGGACAGCTGTCTCAGACAGAAGACCTTCTGACTCATGTCCTTGTTCTTCCAGTTTCATGGCGGGCTTCGTCCAGTACTATTACTGGAACGATGACCGGATCAGAGGAGATGCCGAGCTGCAGGCCTGGATTTCGGAGATCTTCAAGGAAGCATTCCAAAGCCGAGAGGCGTCGGGTGCTCCCTCAACTCTAGCGACCGCAGAGGAGCTCACCAAATTCCTCACCATGGTCATATTTACCTGTTCAGCTCAACATGCTGCCGTCAACAGTGGGCAGGTGAGAACTGTTAAGCCTGGATTCCCCAATGGGTGTTAAGGAAAAACAAACTAAACAGAATGTGCAGCGAAGTCAGATAGGAAGACAGGTAAATGTGTGAGATAAGTTTTCTAGTTAACATGCAGTAAAAATACAGATACGCTTGTGCTATCAAGAATATAGTTTATTCCATTTAAGAATTATAGCATAGTCAAATAAACGGTCCATTAGTCATATATCAATTTCAGTCAAGTCTTGTGTAGGATACTCTAATTGCAAAATCCGTGTTGAATAGCCAATGTCAGTTCACTTACAATAAATCAGTCCAATCTTTATTTTCTCTCCGTTGAGAAAAATATCAACACTCCTTCTTCGGCAAGAACGCAGTCATCAATCTATCCAGTAATTAGGGATCAGTAAGCCAGAGAGAGAGAGAGCTGCATTTGCCTCACTTCATATATAGTGCTTTTACAACCACACCCTTAATTACATTCTTGCTGTTAAAGTTACACACACTTTAACTAACAAACCATGATACCATATTTATTATTTTTACCCAAACCAGTTAGGGTAAACAATGTTATCCCTAACAAGAACCATCCTACCTTAGATAATAAAATGACAGAATAACAGAATTGGCAGGGACCTTGGAGGTCTTCTAGTCCAACCCCCCTCCTCAACCAGAACATCATACCATTTCAGACAAGTGATTGTCCAATCTCTTCTTTAAATCCTCCAGTGTTGGAAGCACCCACAACTTCTGAAGTTCCACTCATTAGGTTGTCCTCCCTGTTGGAAAATTTCTCCTTACTTCCAAGTTGCTTCTCTTCTTGATTTGTTTCCATCCATTTATTTCTTGTTCGGCCTTCCGGTACTTTGGAGGCTAGATGGAAACCCCCCCCCCCCCTTTTTTTGGGGCAGCCCCTCAAATATTGGAAGACCAACCATCAAGCTTAGAGAGCACCAAGGACCCCACAGTCCTCCTCCTCCTCCTCCTCTCTGCAAATCCCGCTCCCTTCTAGCACTGATGATGTTTCCTAGTTGGGACATGAAACACCTGCAAGAAAACTATCAAGCTCAGAGACCAATAAAGCCCTGTATTGTTTCCTCCTCTTCTTCTGTTTCTTCTTCCTCCTTCTCTTCTTCCTTCCTCTTCCTCTTTTTAGGTTTCTTCTTCCTCATCTTCTCCTCTTCCTTTTCTTTTTCTGCTTCCTCCTCCTCCTCCTTTTCTACTCCTCCTACCTCCTCCTCTTCCTTTTCTTCCTTCTCTTCCTCTTCCTCCTCCTCTCCCCTCTTCCTCCTTCTCTCCACAAATCCAACTCCCTTCCAGCACTGTTGATATTCACTGGTTGGATCATGAAACGTCTGCAAGAGAAAACAACCCTGCTCGATCATCAAAAAGGGCCCATAATCCAACCCTGAGCTACAAAGATTCTCTTCTATCGCCAATATTGTGTCTGTCCTGACAATTTTCAACCCTCTCCCCTTCCTTTGTGGTCTCAAACCTGAAACGTTCGGGCCTCAAATTTCAACTAGACTGTCCTAGCCTAAGCTTCCCAAAATCACAAAGCCAACTCCTCATCCCTTTTATTTAGGTTAAAGGGAATTAATTCCCGCTCCAGCAAAGTCCCGGCAAACGCAGTCTTTCAAGAGATTTCACAACGACAGACCTTTAGCAGGCTTGGACAGTTGCCAGGGTGATATCTTCCAAACGCCAGGCTGTAGCAACAATGACTTGGCAAGGAGTCAGGAACAGATCTTCACCCTAATGAATTGAACTAATTGTCTCCTGCAAACCCCTTTCACTCCTCTTTTATTCCCTCTGGGAGGGGCCATTCACCACCCACCTGTGGCTTTACTCCTGAGTCGACCCTTGTTTCTTAGCTGTTCCCTTCTCCTGGCAGCTCTGTGCATGAGCACACTGGGAACAGGCTCCAGCTGCTCTTCTTCCCCACTGATCTCCGACTCCATAGGCAGCAGGGAAATGTCAGACAGCCCTGGCCCCGTCTCTGCCTCCGACGCAGAGCCCTCGTCTGAGCCTTTCCCAGACTCCAGGACTGGCCTCATGTTCCTCCCCAGCCTCCTCACTGTCCGACTCTGCCGCCAGCTCCACTGGCCACTGGCGGGCCACAACAAAGACATGACAGAGAAAGCATAGCTGGTCTTAATATCATGCCGTTTTCCCCCTGAACATCATCACATTTATAGGAACACCTGCTCTTAAGATGCAGGGTGGGCATTGCAACTCTCGACTTACTTGGCCTCTCTCTCTCCTCTCTCTCCTCTCTCTCAGTTTGACTTCGGTGCCTGGATGCCAAACATGCCCCCGACCATGAGGAGGCCACCACCCACCACAAAGGGTACTGCATCCCTGGAGGACATCCTCAAGATCATTCCGCAGGTCAACATCACCTGCATTGCGCTGTCTTCCCTCTGGCTCTTGAGCAAAGAAGCTGGGGATCAGGTAAGTGGCGGGGAAACCCAACCAAGAAGGAGAAAGGATTGGGAGCTGACGTAGGTTTCCAGATATCGCTTTGGTGTTGGTATGTACACTGAGAGCTTATGCACCGGGGACAAATTCCTTGTGGGCCCAATTACGCAAAGAAGGAAGGAATGAAAAGGGAAGGAAGGAAGGAAGGAAGGAAGGAAGGAAGGAAGGAAGGAAGGAAGGAAGGAAGGAAGGAAGGAAGAGGGAGGAAGGGAGAGGAAGGAAGGAAGGGAAGAAAGGAGGAAAGAAGGAAGAAAGGCAAAGAAAAGAGAAAGAAAGAAAGAAAAAAAACTTGAAGGGAGAAGAAGGGGAAGGGAATGGGGAAAGAAAGAGAAGAGAGAAGAGGGAAGAAAGGAAGGAAAGGAAGAAGGAAAAAAGGAAGAAAGAGGGAGAGACAAAGGGGGGAAGGAAAGGAGAAAAGGAACAAAGGCAAGAGAAAGGAAAGAGAAAGAAAGAGGGAGGGAAAGGAAAGAAGGAAGGGAGGAAAGGAGGAAGAAAGGCAAGATAGAAAAGAGAAAGAAAGAAAAAAACAAAAAAGTAGAGGAAGAAAGAAGGAGGGGAAGGGAATGGGGAAAGAAAGAGAAGAGGGAAGGAAGAAAGGAAAGGAGGAAGGAAAGAAAAAAGTAGAGGAAGAAAGAAGGAGGGG